GTCGCGCGCTCTGTGGAACTGGGCTCGTCCGCGCCATCAACCCGCCGCCGAAAGATGACGCAGCCTCCGGTGGCAGCACTAAGGAGAAGAGTAGCAGACGAAAGGCGGCCGCCGGTGTGCATCTCGGACCATGGCATCTGAAGGTGCAGGCATAAGGTGAAAACCCGCTCGTCATAGGGGCGCGTCCCACGGGAGCAACGTCATCAAGCGCTATGCAGCCCCCCCCTTACGCGCTGTTCCCCTCCGGCACCGCGCGTTCGCCCGCAGCCCATCGCCGCCTTCGAGGAGCAATGCTCGTCCGCACCACAAAGAGTCACCGTAATCCTCCAACACCAGGGAGCAGAAGAAGGGCGTGAGGCGCGTCGTGCACCCCCATGGGTAGTACAGCCGCTTGCCATCGGGGGCATGAGCACCGACAACGTAACCGCGATTGAGAGTATCTCGACCCGGGTGAACGCGGAAGCCCAGGTCTCGCCGCGCGCGCGAGGACCGCTGCTGCCCGACGACGACGACGTAATGGTACATCGTGATATGGGGAGGAAGCACCGGTGGCAGCGTCGTCATTGCTATCTCTTGAAACGTGCAAATTGGCCGGATCCAGGCAACGATGGGTGGATGACGTGGCAGCCTGAGGCGGGTATCTGCAGACGCAGAGGACAGACAGGCGAGCGCCAGGACCGTCCGTCACCGTGTGCGCCGCGCTCGCCCATGACACCGAACGCCGACGTAAAAGTTCTAGACGCATGAAGAGACGACGATGGGAGATGACGTGGCGAGCGCCATGAGGGGAACCGCCGGCGGAGGGAGAGGCGATGGAGCTGGGACGGTGGGACATCATGAGCGGCAGCGCCTCATTGGGCTGTGGCAGCGAAGCGGGAAGGGCGCGCAGCTGACGCTCGATGGACGGGCGAAGATCCCGATACAGCCGTCGCCGCTATCCACACGGCCGCCCGCGGGAGCTAAGAGATGAGACCCGCCGTGGGTGGGCGGCATGGCGCCGGGGTCTCAGCGCGGCGGAGGCGGAGGGATGATTTGAGGGAGTGGCGCCTTGCAGCTGGAAGATCGAGGGGCGCTAGCTTGGTATCGGAGGCGCATACAGGCCAGCATGAGGAAAAGGAGGCCGTGGAGGTGCGGGCGACGGTCCGCGTGCATAGAAGCTGCGGGAGAGGACGATAGGGGATGACGTAGCAGGCGAGTATACACCGACGCAGAGATGCAGGGAAAGGCAGTGGAGCTCGGTACACCGCGATCATCGTGACCGGAGGCGCGTCTTCGGGCGGGTGGCTGGAGGCGGAAGCTGGTGTAGAGGTTCCGGTGGGTCAAGATGGCGATGACGTGGCGCGCCGTGGAGGAGAGGCAGCCGAGCGGCGACTCCGTCGGTTTGAGCGGCGGCGCTTCATCGGGCAGGGGACCTGAAGCGGAAGTGCTGCACGCTGGAAGGTGCAGGTGTGTCAAGAGGCGATAGGGCGTGATGAGGATGCGGGGAAGCAAGTCCCGACGGCAAGAAAGGAGGCGAGCGGCTGCACGTTCGTCGTCGCAGGCTGCGGCGCTTCGGTGGGACAGTGGACAGTGAAGCCGGATACAGGGCCCCAGCCTCCAAGGCGCTGTGCTTACGCTGCAATCAGGGGCAGGCGTCATGAGGCTACGCAGACATCCGCTCCGAGGGGGACGCGAGGTATTCGAGCGCGCGGGGCCTCGCAGCGGGACGACCGAGGCTACGAAGGGGGGAGGCGTCGCATAACAGAAAGCAGGCGTGGGCATGCGGACGGAGGTCGTCCTGCGCGGATAAACGAAAGATCCATATCTTGATGCCGACACAGGCTTTACTCGAGCGCGGACCGTGCGCGGCGGGATGTGGAGGCGGCGGTAGCGCATCGGACGCGCGCGATGCGGGCGCTGGCGGTAGGGAGGGACGCGCGGGTGTGCAGCGTTTGGCCGCAGGTGGTTTCTGGGACACGATTGGTCGTAGATAGCGATATCGTCTCTGCGGCGACACTTTTGAGGGTCCACCGCGGAGAGGGGACAGCAGTCCTCGTGCGCGGTTTGCGCCAAAAGTCTTGAGGAGCGAAGATAGTGGAGTGCGGACAGGTGGAGGGGCCGTATGCTCTGTGCGCTAAAACATCGAGGTCGCCGGTCGGAGATCCCAATCAAGACACGCCTGGCGAGAGGAAGGGACGCCGGGAGTCGAGGCGCTCCCAGCTCGCTCGCCCGCGCATGAAGCCCGGCAGAGCTGACGCCCCGACGGACACGGTACGGTTGACGAGATTCCCTGCGGAACACGGGCGGACCAAGGCATGCGCATCGCAGAGCCTAGAGCACGCAGGGCGAGTCGGAGGCGAACGCGGGGGTGGACGTCGTAGGAGAATCGATTGAGGTTTGGACGGAGAGCGGCGATGTAAGCGAATCGGCCGCGGCGTGGCGCTCTGCGGCGGCGATGAGAACACGCTACGCGTAGGGCCACACGCGGAGGAGGGGCGCCAGGGTGGGTCGCGGGACGAGGACCATGCCCACCGGAAGTGGGACTCAGCATGACGCGCTCACGCACACTGCGTGTGCTGCAGAAGCGGCGGGGATTCGCGCTGAGCGCGACATTTGCTGTCGTACCCGCCCAGGCCCAGCCCTTGGCGTCGGGTCGGGGAGAGCAGCACTGGCGCATGCAAGCGATTAGTCCTACGCCGGGATCCAAGAGATGCTGCCTTGCTCTTGATCAGACGAAGAGGGTCTAAGCTCCTGAAACGGGCAGACGAGTGGCATGATAGTATGAGAATGAGAGCGGGGCGAGCCGCTGGAACACGCACCGGTGGAGCAATAGATGCTCAGGGTCGTCCGGACACGGGCAAGATCGATGCCAGGTACCTTCCATCCGATCGAATTACAGTCTGGGATGATTGTGCGTCAGAGCCAGCGTAAACGGCAGAAGATGATAATAGCGCACCACCGCGGCTTTGGGATCTATCAACTGGACCGGCGATCTCGGTGGGAATTCAGGAAATTTTTTAAAGGTCTGCCGTAGACCAAATATGGCTCAGATCTCGCGTCTTGGGAAAGGATTCAAATAGACGTACGGCGTGCCGAGTGTGGCGAGATCTCGCAATACTCCTGATTGTCTGTCTATGATGATTCTGAAGCAACAGCTTCAACGAAAGGTTGCTATCTTGTCCTGAAATTCTCTTCCCGCTATGACGCCGAAAAGACTGAGAGTAGAGCAAAACATTGAGCAAGGCGAGTCAGAGCGGGTCCGTGCGTCTTAGATACTGCGTTGTGCGGTCTGGTTTCATCGCAGAGCGGTATGTAGTAAGGTCAGAGCGATGTGGTTTCGACAAGAGGCGAAACGGCACACGTGACGTTCACCTTTTTAGAAAGTTTTAAACAACGCCCACCTACTTCGGGTTCTACCTTCTCGCGTCTTTCTATCGTGGAATATGGCTTGCAACGGAAACTACACACAACGAGGACACTTCTGGTTATTTGGCTGCTCGGAAGCGGTTCCAGACTCAAAGCATCGCGACCTCCGCGAGGCCGTGGCACTGCGGATTTTCTGCTAGTCGTAGCGCTCCACATTTTTGAGCAACAGAGCCGTCGTCGACCAGTGGCAGGTCGTTCTCGTTGCTTACGTTCCCAGCGAAATCATCGGAGAAAGACGGGGGTTCGACTCCCCTCGACGGAATTTGCTGGAAAGCTTTTTTTTTTGTTCTCAGCGATTTTCTTTATCTCCCCTGATTTCGGGAATTTACAGGGTAGGAAGCCGTCGTCAACCAGTGGCAGGGCATTCTCAGCACATAATGCCCATGCCCGGTTACATGAGGGTTCGACTTCCCTCTGCGGCGATGAGCTGAAGAAAGTGTCTTTTGCTGCTCCCAGCGTGTACTATTTCTACCGGGCTTATTTCAGGCCAATTATAGGATAAGAAGCCGGCGTCGACCAGCGGAAGGTCATTCTCGCAATGTGGCACATGTCCCAGGTCATCCGAGAGAGCCGGGGGTTCGACTCCCCTCGCCGGCATAACACCGGGCAAAAGCAAATGTTGTTGCTTTTTTTGCCTTCTAACCACCCGTTTCTGCGCAACTTACCTCTGGCAAATTCTAGGCTACGAAGCCATCGTCGACCAGTGGAACTTGAAGGTCAATCTCGCAACGTAGGTCACCAAGCACGTCCTCCTACACGAGAGAGACGGGGGTTCGATTCCTCCCGACGGCATAAGCAGGAGATCGAGCTCTTTTTTCTCCCAGCTCCCTCCATACGCGCTAGCCTTGTTTAATTTGGGGAAGCTTGCAAGGATAGAAAGCCATCGTCGACCAGTGGAAGGTCAATCTCGCAATGTTACAGTACGATTATTGACATCCGAGAAAGACGGGGATTCGATTCCTCCCGATGGCATAAGCAGGAGATCGAGCTCTTTTTTCTCCCAGCTTCCACCTCGTGCGCCAGCCTGAATCAATTCGGGGGAGGTTACGGGATAGGAAGCCGTCGTCGACCAGTGGAAGGTCAATCTCGCAACGTAGCTTTTGGAGTTCTTGAATTGCAATGGGGAAAGACGGGGGTTCGATTCCTCCCGATGGCATTAGCAGGAGATCGAGCTCTTTTTTCTCCCAGCTTCCTCCATACGCGCTAGCCTTGTTTAATTTGGGGAAGCTTACAAGGATAGAAAGCCGTCGACCAGTGGAAGGTCAATCTCGCAATGTAGTATGCTGGTCTTCCATTGACATCCGAGAAAGACGGGGGTTCGATTCCTCCCGATGGCATTAGCAGGAGATCGAGCTCTTTTTCTCCCAGCTTCCACCTCGTGCGCCAGCCTGAATCAATTCGGGGGAGGTTACGGGATAGGAAGCCGTCGTCGACCAGTGGCAGGTCAATCTCGCAATGTAGTATGCTGGTCTTCCATTGACATCCGAGAAAGACGGGGTTCGATTCCCTCCGACGGTATGCGCTGCTATTTAATTTTTTTGGCCCCCGAGCTTTATTTGCCTTTGACTTGATTTAGGACAACTGCAGGCTATAAAGCCGTCGTCGACCAGTGGCAGGTCATTCTCGAGACGTCATCCCATCTGACATCCGGGAACAATGGGGGTTCGACTCCCCTCGACGGCGTGTGGCGGTTACGTTGATTTTTAGTGTTTCTTAACCCAACTACGGGGTTTTACAACGTCGACAAACGCACAGGTGGTTCTTACAATGTTGCTTAACAATGACGCGTATGCGGATGTCCCGAGCAACCCAGATGCCGTGGGTTCCCAGCAACTCTGCCACTGCCTTTACAGCACTATCAGCGGAAGTATTCTTACATACATTTAAAAGCTGCTGATGCGCGGATGCAATGTGGGAGTTGCTTGACGCGAAGCACTGCCTTGTTATCTAGACCTAGATAAGAGGCAAGTCTCGCTGATGCTCTTCACATCCAGCTTCCTCCTCACCCCGCTAGACCTCGAATGCCATCCCCACGTGCACGGAATCCGCTCACGGCCGCGAAGATGTACGTGCTTTGTTTGAACGTAATAGCTCATCCACTGACCCGACCCCACATTAGCCATGGTACAAATCCCGTTCCCGCTTTAGAAGAGATAACTCGTCTGACGTTCAAACCTCCCAGGCTTCCTGTGTGTCCTGGACTTGGGGTACGCGTATCCCATCTACTGCACTGCTCTGTTTCCGCATTACTTATTCAAGCCGCCGTCAGATATGTGTGCTTATATGTAGCCATATCTCTCACACAAGAGTGAGTACGCTGATTCACGACCTTCGCATTCTTATTGGCTGTAGCATTACTGGCGTACCCCTCGCTTGGCTTCCCGAACTGTTGTGCATTTTCGCGGCCCTTCTCGCCGTGTATCATTTGAACATGATTTGGCGGTGCTGGCGGATTCACAGAACCCAGAAGAAGCAGGCGGCGGCGGCAGCAGCAGCAGCACCGATTCCACTGCTACGGCTCCAACCCCTGCAGTTCCCGTTTGAAAATGTTTACGTTCATGTCTTACTGGCCTGGACACCTGTCCGCACGAAGTTGTATCTAAAAAGTTTGTATTCTACCATCCAGTCAGCTGCGGCTTCAGAAGGACGCGTACAGGGGAGCCGCGAGGCATTGCGATTCCGTGGACTTTACAGCCGATGGTAGTACCGAAGGCGCGGTTGGTTTTTTTCCTGTTTGGGATGTTTCCAAGGAATTCCCCATAACTCAGTCAGCTCTTAACAGATTTGCATAAAACCTAATGGAAGTCCTTCGTGCGAGCCTGCTTTAACTCGCAGAAGGCACGGGTTCGATTCCCCCCGACGGCATAGCAGGCGTCTAAAACTTTGTTTTACTCTCAACATCCTTTTTTTCTGACTTGACCTAAGGGCAACGCAACCGTCGTCGAACATCGGAAGGTCCTTCTCACCGTGTAGCCTAGAAACTCTTGGTCGCAGAGAGAATGAGGTTCGGTTAATTTATCAATTTCTGCCGACGGCCTAGTTGAAGGTGAACGAATGCTTTTCGCTCTCGATGGTCTTATTTCCGACTTCCCTCGGGGCTATTATAGGGTATAAAGCCTTGGTCGGCCAGTACCAGGTCATTTTGTGCTCTTAGTATCTCTGATTTATAGGAAACCAAGCATCGAGCGTCGCGAGCTCACGGTAGCGATAGCTTTGGCAATGTCTTTTTTTTTCGAGCCTCGGCCTTTCTCGGGACCTGACGGATTTTATCAGGCTACGAAATCGTCGTACCACATCGGCAAACCCTCCTTGTTGCTTCATGCACTCCCGACAGAACAGATGAAAGATTGGTGTACATAACTCCAACACCAGGACCAACGGAGGGGTACAAGCTGACATCAGAGCGTTAGCTCGCAAGTAAGATTTGATTGACCGCCCAGTGGCCAATAAAATTGTTCATATTCACACGACCGTGGGCATATCGCATTCGGCGGCCGACCTGATTCTGTGAGTTCTCCCCTTTTGATACCGTTTCCCCTCCTCAATGTCTTGCCATAGGAGCCTGTGACTCAGTTGCGGAATTGCCTCTAGTGCCTCTAGTGCCACGTCTCATACTGGTACTAACAGTACAGGCAGACCCATGCGCGCCCTGGTCAGTCTTCTAGAATTTATCATCAACGGTGCATTGATAACTTTATCCCACCTGGTGGCCGATGAGCGGCCGTCACCATCTTCTTCGCCCACTCTAAATGTAACCTTCGATACATCTCTTCTGGTTGACACAAGCTCACGAACGTCGCCGCTTCAAATTCTCCCTTGGCCTTAACAAATGATCCTTCTCAGACGCTGTATGATCTTCTCTAGAACGTACTTGGGAGCGACCAACCCTAACAATTCGGCACCCAAAGATGCTCAAAAGACGAGCTTTCATTTTTAACGCCGGGAGTTAGGTTCGAAGCCTCGGTGAAAAATGCTTTTGTTAGTGGCATCGCCATCTTCCCGTCTTCTCTCACAATTCGCCTGTCAACCAACAATCTCTCACGGCTTTCCGCGTGGCACGATCTGGGATTCAGTTCTGATGCCGAAATTCGCATCCAATGACCACCCCTTGCCCCCGGCTTTTCCATGTCCCGCTCAAAATCGAACATTAGGAACAGTATCCGCGACGAAGATTCCACGGACGTGAGATGGGCTCAACTTCATTTAAATCAACTGCTTTTGGGAACCTGATTTTTCTTTCCCTCGAAAATAATCGTTCAGCGCCATGGATCCTGTTGCAGGCCCTCCCCCTGGCTTCCAGATTGTGGACTTGTCAGTACCATTCCTCTTGTGGCATTAATATGTCGTTAACGATCCGTAGCTCAGGACCACTGGTAACTTCAATTGGTGGATTGTGCCCTACATATTAAATACCACTCGCAGCTTTTGTCCTATCTTTTGCATTGGGGACTGTTCGGTGCCCTGTCGGTTCAATTGTGTAAGCCGCCTTCGACCTTGTCCAACCGGATATCTTCTGAAGCACTCCAGATCTTTATTATCAGGCCTTCCCCAACGACAGGCTGGGAACCAAGTGCCTGGTTTATATTGTATACACCATCGAGTTGGTGGAGACGATTTTATTAACTCACGACGCATTTCAAACGTTCGGATACGGCTTTGGTGACATTTCTGCACCCAGCAAGATAAATCTTGGCTGGTTGGATCTTCCTGTTACAAGCGGACTAGGTAATTTTCGGACCCAGAGCGACTTGCTCCTTATTAACGTTGTGTCTAGTTGGTTTCATTGGCCAATCGTTCTACGCCCACCGTCTTTATGTGCTATCGAAATCTTGGCTGATTCCTGTATTGATCGTGGTCGTAAGCCTAGATGCCTTCTGCGCATCATGGATTATTCACAACTAAATCCAGGTGTCCCTGGCCAGCAGTATCGGTGCATTCGTGACGGGTGCCTTTAGCTTGGAAGGTGTGATATTCTACTTCATCACACCGCACTTCGCTTGGTTTAGCAATCCACAGCTGGCAATTTCGCACTGCTGAACACTCGAAAGGTTTCCATATCTTCCGGGGTATGTTTGTGCTATAAAAAGGGGAAAAACTAAACTTCCATCATTATTTCCCAGGTCTGGAACGGAGGCTCAGCGTTGAGCGACATCACCATTGCTGTTTTTATGACATATTACGTGAGTTTTCCTCGTACGAAGGCTAGATTTTGACCCGATTTTCGTTCCAGTTGTCCCAAAAAGTCACAGCATTCCGCCAGACACGCGCCTTTGTTTCAAAGTTGATGCGATTAACCGTAGAGACAGGAACATTGACGGGTCTGGATTATTCGCTACAAGGCCTAAAGGCTCGTTCACTGATTCCGCGCAGCTTTTGTGGCAATCACGAATTTCACTCTCTTCATCGCCCTTCCTGGCCGCGCCTACTACGCAGCAACAACTGCGATGCTGCCAAAACTTTATGCCAACTGTATTTTGGTGGTTTTGAATGCACGCTCCCAAATCGTAGGTGGACGTGGAACCGAAGCGATGTCCATGGAACGTCCATCGACCACCAGTTATCCCCGTACTCCGGGGATGCGCCCAACTGGTACGAACGACGCGCACATGGTCACACTCGACCGGGACGCTTTGTCGGACGCAGCATTGCATGATCACGTTGAAATGAAGGGCTTGGATGTATGTTTTTCTATCTCTGCTTGAACAGCGCTGACAGTGTTAACAGCCCTCCGAGTCCGACATTGGGACTGCTGTTTGATCAATTTTTTCTCTTGCCAGTGGAGTTTCTCTTCCTTGATATCAGCACCTCCGCCAGGAATTAATTGGCAGATTTTAAAGCGCTGGTGGTAGTTCCACCCGGGAAAGATTTAGCGTCCAAGACTCGAGAAATATACGTACTACAACTATACAGGGACGCCGTACTACAAGTACTGCGCGGCATCTGCCGCTTCGGCCCGCATGCGCGATGAGAACTTTGATTTCTACATATTTAAGAATAAAGCCCCGACTGTGCTACCCATGGGGTCGGAATCCAAATTTGGGGGTCCGACATTGATGCGTACGCGTATGGGCGGGTGGCAGTGCTAATCGTGTGATGGCGGCATGTTTACGCTTGTTGGGACTCTCTTCCTTCTCACCAACACCCGGGTCTGGTGCGGTGCCCTGAGGTACATAAGCTCCCAAATCGGGACATAGCGTATGTCCGTCACACTTGCGTCACACTGTTATGTCCCCGCCTTTGTCGTCGTCGCCGCTGGCCCCCTCCCTCGCCGCTGCTCGAAGCCACATAACTCGAGCCCCCAGACATCGATTGCCGACCTCATGGCCTCCCGCGACCCGTCTCTGACCCCAGACGACGTAAAAACCCGACTTTCGAAGGCCTTTCAACGCGAGCCTGAGCACTCTTGTCCTGTTCTTTTCCTCCGCAAAATCTTTGAGAAATGATGGCCCACTGCATCGGGGCCATCTATGCTCAGCTATCTTAGCCGCAGGGGTGTTGCGGCCGCGATTTCGTGCGCCGCCGCATGTGCGGCTATGCATGGGGCTGCATTGGCAGAAGAGGGATTGAGAGCGTGAAGTGGGCTTGAAGATGGATGACAATCTCCTTTGGCCACTGCGTAGCAGTACGTGCGCGCTTCGTTTTTGTCCGTGCTTTCCTCACCGACTTGCCTCCTTAGCAAAATA